AGGCGAAGCCCTGCGCCGGTAGAGCATCATCATCGTCACCACGCCGTCGTGCTGACGGAACTCATCCCCGAAGCTTTGCTGGATCGGAGCCCAGGGATCGTCATCGAGCTGAACATGTGCTGAACTTGGAGGTGCCGTACGTTCGGTACTTGGATCGGTCGGATCGTGAAGACGTACGACTACATCAACCGCATTGTCATAACGCTTCCTCTTACGGTCTACGAGGGTACGTGGACAACACTCTCCCCTCTCGTTGCTATGCCATCACCATGATCTTGCGTGTACGTAGGAATTTTTTTGAAATTACTACGTTCCCCAACATGCCCCTCTCCTCATCTTGGTATTTATCATCATTCTATAAGCGAATCTTACAGTGAAAATCTCACTTTTTTCAAAATTCTAAGCCTAAATATCAGTGATGTCTCTTATGCAAAGAGGTATCCCGATGATGGCAGGGATATCAATTGGTAAGCATATTCCTCCAGCCTCACATGATCCCATGTAGCAGATGTATGGTCAATAAGGTGTGAGACAAATTCAAGTGGGTTACCAACTCTGCGTCCATAGGGTCTCATCATTACATCCCTCGGTATCTAGTTGTCCAGCCAAATGTTAGTCATATCGTCGTTAACTATTCTTCTTATAAGACCTTGTTTCAATATGTCCTATCCTTCAACTATTTATCTCATTATTTGGCTTGGGTAATTTCCAAACTCGGCATTAAGAATTGAACCATTAGGGAAATAGACACTAAGCAGAATTCTCGCGCTTAGTGATTCAAGAGTTTGCAAGATCCTCCATGCCTGTTTAGCTGACAGTGCTAGGTTGAATAACTCAAAATCCTCCCATACTCTTTGGTTGTGTCATTGCTTCCCACGATACCTAGCTAGGTTGGCACTTCCCATCTTTACTTCCCCACCAGAATTTCCTTATCAAAGTGTTCAAATGTTCGCATAGTCCTCTAGGTAATTTGAAGCAAGACATGGAAAAAACAGGAACTACTTGTGCAACTTCTTTAACCAAAACTTCTTTATCTGCAGAAGATATTGTTTTCTCGATCCACCCTTGTACTTTGCTCCACAACTAATCTTTCACATACTTGAAGGTCCCATTTTTTAGGACCCCAGCTCAAATGGCATGCCCAAGTATTTTGCACTCAGAGATTCATTTGGTACCTGCAATAGAAGCTTCACCTCTTCCCTTACATTATCCAGACATCCTTTACTAAAGAGGATAGAAGATTTATCATGATTGACTCGTTGTCCTGAAGCCTGGCAATATGTGGTCAACAACTGCTCATTTATTATCCCAGCACTAGCCTTGAAAAATAGCAGGCTGTCATCTGCGAATAATAAACGGTTAGCTGGCGGCGCTAAAAGAGCTACCTGAACGCCATTCAGGTGGATGACTCGTCAATTGATTTTAAAAGGCATGAAAGGCCCTCTACTGCTATCAAGAAAAAGATAAGGGGATATTGTGTCTCCGTGTCGAATCACATGAGTTGGTTTGGATTTCTGCAATCTTTTAGCAGTTAACAACACTGAAAAACTGATAGTTCTCACCATGCTCATCAGAATGTTAACCCACTCTCCGTGAATCCCAACGTCAGCATAATTGCTTGCAAATAGTCCCACTCGACTCTATCATATGCTTTCATCATATCCAACTTCAGGGCACAATATCTATTTTTCTTGCCTTTTTTCTTTTCATGAGATGAGGCCTCATTGGCTGATATTATGTTGTTAGTAATAAGTCTACCTGGGACAAAAGCTGACTGTTACTCTGAGATGATGTCAGGTAGCACCAATTTTAGCCTAATGGATATAACCTTGGAAGCAATATTATACAGTACATTGCACAAAGATATAGGCATGAGTTGTGACAATAAAGTGGGGTTTTTTTACCTTTGGTATAAGAACCAAAATAGTATCATTGATGCTTTTTGCAGACTCGGTCCCCTCAATGATGTGAAGGACTGCTTGAGTGACATATGTGCCACAAACCTCCCAGTGGCACTGGAAACAATGTGCAAGGAACCCATCTGATCCCGACGCCTTTGTCGGGAACATCTGGCAGAGTGCCACTTGGACTTCCTCTTATGTATATGTTGCATTTAATAATTCATTCATGGTTAGATTAACTTTAGTTGGAACCACATTCAAAACTTTGTCCATGTCATGCACCCCTTCGGAAGAATAGAACTCACCTTAAAAATAAGTAGTCAACTCCTCCATATCACCTACACCTTTGTTGCTAATCTCTTTAGTGAACTACCTAGCTCCGTAAAAAAGGACCGGGAGCACTAGCGACCAGGAGGGACTCGCGACTCGATCTAGTGCCGCCGCCGGATCCTTCCTCTGTCGCCATCTCACCCGATCCTATCCCCGCTCTTGTGTGGCGCCACCGCATCGCACCGGGGCGTCCCTGCTTCCCTCCTCTAGTCCCCGCCACCATTCACCTCTCCGCCGCCGCCGGCGATGACGCCAGTGCAAAGCCCAAGTGGCTCGGCGGTAGCGGCCTTCTTCTCGCACGTCAACTGCTCAAGATTGTTGCAGCGGTTCCGATCTTGATCTCCTCAGTGGTGATGGTGGACAACGACGGCTGGAGTGTGGCGGCGGGTCTGTAGCCGTAGTAGTGGCGGCCATGTTGCAGCCGCTCAACCTTTGGTTCGGCTTCGTATCACGGTGGCGCTCCTGGTCTTGATCTGCATCACACGGGCGCCCAAGGTGGCGACCATGGGCTTAGCGGTGGTGGTCATCTCCTCCATCGGAGGTGGTCGGATCTCAAGATCTGTCATCTAGTCCCGGCTGCGAGTCGGGGAGACATAGTTACGAGTGAAAACCGAGACTACGGCGGGCGATGGCAGCGTTCTGCGTCTTTACCTTGATGAAGGCATCATCGTGTAACTACTGTCGACCCACTCGTGCTGCTTCGGGGAAACCCTAGGATCCAGTCTTCCAGATCAGACGATGGCGGCACTGTGGTGTCTTTTCTCTCTTGGGAGGATGGTTTATGGAGCAGCACTGGAAGACAAAGGCAGGAGATGGAGCGGTTTCGTGTTGCACGGAGCTTCGGTGAAGATGTCAAGTCATGCTTGGCCGATAGGTGCTACGTTGTGTCATGCTTGTTCGGTAGGTGCTACACATGACAGATCTTTCAGAGACTTCAAGTTGTGTCGACTGGTGGTACTTGGCTTGGCGTCATGGTGCTGCGGCGTATTGGTGGCGACCACGACGGGCTCAGCAGTTTGCATGCAGGGAGGTGGTGACGTTGGGTGCCGCGGTGGCGTCGACGGATGGTCAGACTGGCAAGGATGATGCATATCTCTTTCTTGAAGATGGGTCAACGGTTCGATGATGATGGCGGCTTCTAAAACATGTGTTGTGGTGTACGCTTTAGGTTTGCTGCACGAGTTGTAGGTTCCGATACGTTATGCGGATGGATCGGCGACGACACCGGTTTTAGATATGGGAAGTAAAAACACTCCACACAGGGACGAAGCTGTTTGGTAGGCATTGGGGTCAATTGACCCCAACGAAATCAGGAAATGCTTCATTAAATTAGTACTAAACACTATCTATTTATTGAAGATGACCCCACTGCCATAGACTTGACCCCAGCAAACATTTTTTCTAGCTTCGTCCCTGACTTCACATTATCAAGTTTGTAGGTGTGAGTGGTGGCTCGGGGTGGCTCGATGTATATTTTTGTCAGATATTTGTTGAATAATTAATAAAGATAGTTGTATGCATCGATTTAATGCAGAGCCCAGGGGTTTTAACCTCCTTTCTAAAAAAAAAGTACGTCCTTCGTTAAACAGCTATCTAGAAATTGGAAAGTTCCTAGCAGACCTAGCTGAAAGATGCTTTAAGTTTCATGCGATGCTATCCAAACAGTAAATGCACACAACTAAACAGATCAATTCCATCCCAAGCGAGCCCGATTGATTTGTGCGGGCAACCAAACACGCGCCTTGGCAATTTGCTTGCTTTAAACCACGAGCAGGTTTTTGGACTGTTACTTAGCAGGAGATACCCTATGTCGACCGCTTCTTCGCATAGCTCATTCGCTCAGCAAAAGCTGACAGAAACAAATCATTTTTCTTCACCTGGCAGCTAATAAGCGGCAGGCCTCAAATCTAGTACTACGCTTCTTGTTTGCTAGTCTAACAACCCCTCTCCAACCAGGTGGATTTTATACTGCATTTTTGTCTGCGTATTACGCAACGTTGTCGCGTTCCTGGTGAGGCAGCACGAATTCCGGGGAGCTCGGCCACTTGTTCCATCATTCGGTAGCCGCCGGGACTACGTACTCAATCCACGTAGCAGAGCTCCGTTGAAATATATTGGCCGACTCTTTCAACGGTTTGAATTTTTAGATAAATTGGTTAAAGCATGAATTCTCGAACAGTTTGATAAATTGGTTAAAGCATGAAATTCAATATGACATCGAAACCTAATGTTGAAATATACTCCCTCCGTTCCAAAATAGATACTCAACTTTGTACTAAAGTTAGTACAGTACAAAATTGGGTCATCTATTTTGAAACGGAAGGAGTATTTACATGTCTTTCTTCATCAGTTCGAACTTTTGGATTCGAACTTTTGGACGAATGAATGAAAGAAACTCCGATTCTCCATTGCGAAAGGGAAACGATAGTATAGTGCAGTGGTTTTAGGCAGAAGCAAAACCAGCAACCGACCAAGATTTCAGATAAGTCTCAACTCTCAGGATCAAAGCACGGAGCAACTTTAGCATACAACTTCCCAGGATTACATACATAGTAGTACAAGCGACAACAGCAACTTATTGCACTACACCTCAGCTACAGCACTACAGTAGCACTAGCTTATTAGGGCACCAAAGCAGCTAGCTAATGATCTACATCCATACAAATTACTACCATATTCGGACACGATCGTTGCCCAAGGGACGAGGGGCAATAAGGTAGAGTACCTACGTACACACAACTTGATGTAGTACACTGTATTTACAATCAATCATGCAGCTGGATGCAACGGGGTCACCCAGTCAGGGCAGTCCTGCCTCTGCCCAGCAAGGGAGTAGTAGGCAAGAACCTGGGCCTGCTTATCCACGCAGGGTTCTCCTTCAAGCGTCATGCGGAACAAGCCCTCGGGGCTGGGGGGCGTGAACTCGATGTTCCAGAATCGCCTCGCCATGAGCAGGAGCTCGAGGCCTGCTGGAGAGGCTTTGTAGCCTTGCACCCATATGTACCTGAGCGAGGGCATGTGGAGCACCGCGAGGGACAGGGCTTGCTCGCTGAAGCAGCAGCTCCGAAGCTCAAGCTTCCGCAGGTTGGTGCATCCTATCGCAAAGCGGATCAACCCGTGGTCAGATTCACCGACGTTGCCCAGCAGCATGTACTGAATGTTGCCGCTGTACTGCCCGATGTAGTCGAGGCCTATGTCTGAGAGCCCTCCAGGTCTCAGGTAGAGAGCAAATCTCCGGAGCTTGGTGCAACTCCTTAACAGAGCACGAACACCGTTGTCGAGTGGCAGATCAGTTACCTGCTTTTGTCTGTCGAGCAGGACAAGCCGGAAGTCGTAGAGATTTTTGCAGAAGGTCCCAATGGATTCAAGAGCACCGTTGGTGATATCAGATACATAGGCAGCTATGTACTCCAGGTCTCGGCAACCAACAGCTACCGCTGTCAGGCCTAACTGAGAAACTCCTCCTTGCTCTTCTTGTAGACCTGGATCATCATCCCCTCGCTCAATTCGAAGTCTTCGTAGCTTCTTGCATGTATCGCCGACAACCTCCAGCCCTCTGTCTCCTATCACATTCCTCACCTGTTGACAGAATCTACTGTCAGTAAAAATGAGAGTACGACAAATTTCACACCCCCAAAATACAAGAGTACGAGAAACATTACCTCAAGAACAAATAGGTTCGGGCATTTTGAGATAAGCTGGCAATGATCCTCAGTGGTGAGGAAAGTGTACTGCAAGTCCAGCTTCTTTAATGAAGCAGAAAAGGGGAAGATAACAGGCATCTCATTTTTCCCCATGAACGTAAGCCCCAAGAAGCATACTCTTGGTGGAAACTTGACTTTTTCATACTTTGTTAGCTCTCCTACCTCATTGAACGATCCTCCAGCAAAATCTTGCAATGCATTGGCTGCTTCGAAAAAACCAATCAGGTCTGAAAGGTCACACTCACTGATCTTTAAAGAAAGTAATGATTTGCAGTTCTTTGCTAGAAGCTCCAGATCAGCCGGCACCACTTTGAGCTCAGTCATGTAGAAGTTCAGTGTCACAAGAACAGAATTGTTGACAGCAAGTTCATGAAGCCATTCACCACCTTCGTCAGTAATCACGCATTCTTCAAGAAATAATGTTCTTAAGGATCTGCCAAGATAATTTAGAATAGCATGTTACTGCAGTGATAGCACGCAATCATGCAGTGACAGTAAAATCACTTTGAATTAATGTACCACAGTCGAATGTCTTGCTAAAGGAGCACAAAAATAGTTGTAAGCTAAGGAAGAATGGAAAGTGAGATGAAAAGTGGATTACTGGTGAACCAGGAAACCTATAAAGACACGTCTCAAACTTCATGAACATGCCCCGATGTCCCCATGTTCTGTCCCCTTTCATTAATAGTGGGGCAGCGGAACAGCCATTGAAGTCAAGTCAGTTTTTTTTTCAATTCACGGTTGCATACGAGGCATTTCCAGGCACAAAGGAGGACACTGTACATGCATTTTTACCTAAAGTACTACAGATCCTTTGTAGCATGCTAACCTTTAGTCTCCCAGCTCCATATGTGAACTAGACAAGCTCACACAAATCATACCTGCATTCTAAGGGAAAATAATTTCCCTCACACAACTTCGTAGTTGCAGAATTCAGACAAAGCAAAGTTAACACGGACACATGGAAAGGCTTCTGCCAAAAGAGTAAAAAGGAAGGACAAGATGATGCTCGAAAATCGATATGACGGTATGACATAGTGCCACACTAATCTGAACATGATAGAATTGACTGGTAACAGAAACCACCAACTTGCAACATTATTTTGGTTCAAAATACGTCCCATAGGGGCGGATGTAGTTTTGTTCAAGTCCAATCAAAGTAGTACGATAGCACTCCTGGGGAAGATAGATCACCTGACTGGTGCAACCTCAAATTATAGTTTGCTTAAGCCTGACTTGGTTGGGACTTGTGAGCTGTTGTGAGTCAATATTACAAACTAGAGACCGGATCGGTCATGTGCTGGACAGAAACGACAGGTAAACCATAGAACTACACCAAATCTCATATATCTCCCTTCGGCAGTCATTTGCTTATACTGCTCATATCAATTTGTCGTAGAAAACTAGTGCCATGATGTATCATGGCGCCCAAACAAAGTGTGTGGAAGCTAACTTGACACCTTCCCTCACATGACCGTATTTGTTACAGCTCATGATAGAGCAAACAAATATCTAATTATAGAAACTAGCACTTAACTCATCCTTATCCAGTATATACTCCATTTGGCGAAACCAACCAACACACAGACCAGATCAATCCTCATTCATCAATGAGCAGATCAACCGTCACAATTACTGGAACTCACCACCACAAATCAACAGGCAAGAGGGCAAAAAAAAAAGAGGTGCACGGACGCAGGTGAGTAGAGCTGCTGGACTACCTGCAGGAGCGGGCGACGAGGCGGAGCGCGTCGGTGGAGAAGCCGGAGCACTTGTCGAGCTTGAGCTCCTGCAGCATGTGGCCGCGGGAGCGGATGAGCGTGGCGACGTCGTCGTCGGTGACGGTCATGCGTCGCAGGTGGAGCGCCTTGAGGCACTCGAGCGGCGCGGCGAGCCGTGCGACCCAGGGCGCGGCGTAGGCGCCCCAGTCGTCGGAGATGAGGCCGTACATGGCGGCGCGCGGCCTGCCCTTGAGGGCCAGCGACTCGAGGCGCGGGAAGCGGGCGAGGAGGCGCGAGGGGTCGGCGGCGTAGCAGAAGGCGACGGTGACGTGCTTGCGGGTGAGCGCGTCGATGCGGTGCCAGCGGCGGCAGACGAGCGAGGCGGCCTCCCGGTCGCGCGGGGCGTCGACGTAGCCCATGACGAGGTGCAGCGCCTCGTCGGGCACGCCGAAGCTGAGCGCGCGGCTGAGCCGCCGCGGCTCCGGCACCTCCCCGCCCATCGGGCCGGATCGGATCGGCTAGCGGCCGCCGCGCGGGAGATCTGGGCCGAGCCCGGCGGGGGGCGGGGGCATGGAGGTGGAGGTGGAGACGGAGATTCCTCCTCCCTCCCTCCCTTTCTGCTACGGGGGTGGGCTTTGCGGGAGGACGGGAGAAGTGAAGGGAAGGAAATTATTGGAGGGAGAAGGGAGGGATAGGAGCAGGGGCGGACGTGACTTGGGGAGGCAGCAGCTTTTACCTGCGCGGCTCGTCCCGTCCCGTCTGGTGGTGCCGCGCCACGTACGCCCCGCCGGTGGACGAGAGCGATAAATGGCCTCGCCCACCGGGTCAGGGACGGAGCCAGGATTTGAACATAGGGGGGGCGAAAGAGATAACTGTCTCTTTTTACCCCAAAAAGAGATAACCGTCTTATTTTACCCCAAAAAGAGATAATTGTCACACACATAATAATATGTATATCAAGTCTCACGTAAAATGTCAAATGTATACTTTGCAACAGTTGCACAAGTATTAATTAATGTATAAAAATAGCACATGTTTTGCAACTGTCAATGTAAATTAGCTCTATGATTACCTATATGATCATAAGATTAGCAAGTTGAATTTGGATTTTCAGTACAAAGAGTTTGAACAAGAAGCAGATGGCTTGAAAGTAGCAATATGTTCTTTTCTTTCTATTTATTTTTTGTGTAGAGAAGTACAGCTAAACAGAGATAAAAGATAAGTATATTAAATTAGATCTATATCTATCACCGAGAACACATGTTACTGCAACTTCAGAATTGCTACTAACTAATGCATTAGGGATCACCGTATCAGGCCAGATCAATAATACGTTGATGTCAAAAAGTATATATTAATACCAGTCTGATTAATACTATGGTTATACCTAGAGAAACGATCTAATGCTGTCAACTGAGATGAGCGGCCGCAATCAAGTTTGGGTGGAGAAAAGATACAACGATCCATGTGGCTGATCGCCACAAGCGGCCGCGATATTGGGAATTCAGGGTCAAATCATGTGAGCAAGCTGTTAATATCTCTAATTCTAGAATCGCTCCTTTTATGGTTTGAAAGACACAACCAAATCTAATGCTGGAAATAAAAACTAAACCTTGTTTCCTCGTTAGGTAGCTCATCCATCCATGAGGCCGGCCGGACAGAATGAGCTGCTGGATCGACACAATGACACTTTCATGTCGCCTTCCCTTCTGGATGGATAGATTAGACAGAAGATCTAGCAGGCGGCCGACGGCCGGCGCGATCTCTGGAGCAGTTCTTTTAGGTTGGAATCGAAGGGATTAGTGGGTACTGCTTCGTAGCCTGGCCCCTTCGCTTTCATGATGGGCTATGTTTCCTTTTTATTTTTCTGGGATTTGGGCCTTTAGGCTGCAATCAACTGATCACCATTACATGGGCCCTCGCTGGCTATGGGAAGCACAAATCACACAGGGGGGGCGAAGCAAGCCACGTACACTTGCGTAGCCAACAAAATTAGCGACCAACTGATCGCTATTAAGGTGTGGCACGATCGTTAGGGGGGGTCTCGCCCCCCCTCGTCCCCCCTTGAATCCGTCCCTGCACCGGGTACAGCCAGCACGGTACCAGTCTACGAGTACGGGCAGCTCCGCTCTGCTCCCTAGCACTGTACGTGCCGCGGCTCAACGCTCATCAGCGTGCCGCCGCCGACGATCACGTACGCCATTTTCACACGATTATTGATTATTGATTTGATTTCACTTGCGCCGGACTTGGGGAGCTGAAAAGACAGTGTTGGCCCAGCGGCTACTTAGTCATCATGTTTAGCGGCAAGTGGATTTATACAACTAGTGGATAAAACACCCTCGATCTTGTGCAAGATCGCGTTGCATAGGCTTGTGGTTGTGGGGTGCATTATTGCGTGCTTGCTCGTTTTGGCTGCCTGCCCATCGGCCTTTTTCTGTATGGGGGTATCTTATTCACTGGGCCACAAAATTGCTCGAAGTATCTACACGGAAATTGGATGTGGCCAGTGTATGCAGAGATTAGCTCCCCCAAAAGAAAAGCTGAGGTTAGCTGGGCATGCAGCCATGCACATGCACAGATAAAGCAGCGACAATCATAAAAGATGGCAGATGTTAACATGGTGTGTGCCAAACTGCCAATACACCAGAATGTCATCTCTACTCCTAAAGAGGACTTAGGAGTTGGTAGTTTTTCTTCACCGGTTTATTATCGTCTGAATTTTCCGCCTTTAACTCCCACCAACCACTGGCACTGAATTTTTCTCTCTTCCATTAAAAATCAAATCTCATTAAAGTGGGAAATTTTGTTCCGTGCTTGCTTTGGCAAGCCCTGATTCAATTCAATCACGTAAATAATAGGTAATTAAGAATTTAGAAATGGCATATATATGTAAGATGACCTTCCTAAAAGACATACAGACGTAAGATTATTCTCAATAACCTTCCAAAACAAAGTTAAATATTTCTCTACAACAAATCGCTAATCCTACGCCCATTTACTATTATTATTATCTCTACTAATTTTTTTGCGGGTATCATTATCTCTACTATTGATTGACAATCACAATTTTCTAATACGGAGTACAACAAAAATAACATATATTTTTTCTTGTGGGCGTACTCATCCGCGCGTCCCTGCGGAGGGACGTCGTGCATGGCACCATGGAGGATGCCGTGGTCGGGCCTAACACCAGCGCGATGCTCGAGAATGCCAGGGGGTGGAGCACAGAGTCGAGGACGTCGGTTGGCGGAAGGCGGTCCGTCGGACCGACAAACTGCCCTTTGCCTCTAGGGGAATCTTTTTCACTGGGCCACAAAATTGCTCAAAATATCTACATAAAATTGGATGAAGCTAGTCTACGCAGAGCTAGGATTAACTCCTCTAAAAGAAAAGCTAAGGTTAGCTCGGCATGCACATATAAAGCATACACATTCATAAAAGTTGACCGATGTCAGCATGACATGTGCCAATACACTGCAACAGGGCTTCATTGCAAATCTTGTTCGCATGGTCCCCTTGCCCTTGTCTTTGTAATGTTTTTCTGATTGAAAAACATGGGTTGTTTCCTGAAAATTTTCTTGCAGCCAATAAAGTGAGCGAAGCTCAAGATCAGGGTGTGAAAAGTGGCTTGCGCTCAGCTCGTAAGGATCTCGGGCTAGTTTTGAGCTAAATAACATGATTTTTTTTAATAACATAGGGCAATTTTTTCAAACAAGATAGGCCATAACACAACATAAGAGACCACTATCAAAATATTATTCATATCAAAATGATGCTAATTTTTTTAAGAAATCAATATAGTTTGACGTATTCTCTCTCGACTGAAGCCCAGTACTCCCTCCATTTCTTTTTAGTCTGCATATAAGGTTTGGTCAAAGTCAATCTTTGCATAGTTTGACTATCTTTATGTTAAAAAATATCAACATTCACAATATGAAATCAACATTTTTAGATGCACCATGAATTGTATTTTCATATTATATAGTTTAAGTATGTAGATGTTCATATTTTTTAATATAAATTTGGTCAAACTTTGTGTAGTTTGACTTTGACCAAAACTTATACGCGGAGTAAAAAGAAACGGAGGGAGTATTTAATAGCAACAGATCATGGATGAACTAGGAATACAAGAAAATGAAGGTTTGTCTCCTCTCAAACTTTGACAAAAAAGCACGATATTTGACACACGACTGATCATGTACGCTATTGGAGACTTCGAGCTAGCAAGGAAATGGACCTAGTTTTACCCCCCCTCCCCCTCCTCTCTCCCTCGGTGTCGTCCTGCCGAGGGCGACACAGGGGCGACTAGGGTTCCCGACGCCGCCACCCATTTCCCCTCTCCCTCCCTTGCAGCCACCCGAGGTGGCGGCGGGGGCTTCGTCATTTTCCCCCACCCCGCACAAAGGACTCTGGAGGCCGGGGCGGCAACCCCGGGCGACAAGGTGGCAATTCCCGGTAGGTGTTGGTTAGCTCCCTTAGCTGCTTGGACGATGAAGAGCCGGTGGGCAAAGGTTGCGGGGCAGCATGGTGCTCATCTCCCGATCCAGGTCTGAAGGCCAGGCCGTCCCCTCCTCTGCTCTCTCTCTTTCCCCATCGATTTCGTCTGTTCTGAGGTCTTCGGCCTTCGGATTCGACGCCGGTGGGGTGTGGGTGGTGTAGGTCGAGCCCGGGAGAAACCCTAGGTCAGGTGCTCCAGCACGACGGCGGCGGGGCGCACCTGTGCGTCGCCTTTCTTCTTGGAGACGTTGTTGAGGGCTCCCATCTCCACTCCCAGCCCAGCTTCCCGGGCGAGTGCTCAATTCGCGCCTCTTTGCCTAGGCGACGGTGGTGCCAGGTGCATCATGACCTCCATGGAGGCGCCGTCTGGGGAAGTTTGGTGCTCGATGTTGGGTAATGCAGTAATTTCAAAAAAAAACTACGCACACGCAAGATCATGGTGATGCATAGCAACGAGAGGGGAGAGTGTGTCCACGTACCCTCATAGACAGAAAGCGGAAGCGTTAGCACAACGCGGTTGATGTAGTCGTACGTCTTCACGGCCCGACCGATCAAGCATCGAAAGCACGGCACCTCCGAGTTCTTGCACATGTTCAACTCAATGACGTCCCTCGAACTCCGATCCAGCCGAGTGTCGAGGGAGAGTTCCATCAGCACGACGGCATGGTGACGATGATGATGTTCTACCGACGCAAGGCTTCGCCTAAGCACCGCTCTGATATTATCGAGGTGGACTATGGTGGAGGGGGGCACCGCACACGGCTAAGAGATCCAAGGGGTCAATTGTTGTGTCTAGAGGTGCCCCCTGCCCCCGTATATAAAGGAGCAAGGGGAGAGGCGGCCGGCCTAGGAGGAGGGCGCGTCAAGGGGGGAGTCCTACTCCCACCGGAAGTAGGACTCCTCCTTCCCTTGTTGGAGTGGAAGAAGGGAAGGGAGAAGGAGAAGGAAGGAAGGGGGCGCCCCCCCTCCCTAGTCCAATTCGGACTAGTCCAAGGGGAGG